AGGAACTCCACTTGACAAAGATCCCTAAGCTTTCATTTCCATTCAGTTAGCATTCTCATAGGCATTGTGTGAGTCCAGAGGAGAGGCAATGCATTAGTTTTCCATTGCTGCTTAACAAATTACCACAAACTTAGTAACTTCAAGCAACACCCTTTAATTATCTCACAGTTTTGTATGTTAGAAGTCTGGGCACAGGTTAGTTGGATTCTCTGCTTAGGGCAGTGATGGCGAACCTTTTGAGCTCGGCGTGTCAGCATTTTGAAAAACCCTAATTTAACTCTGGTGCCGTGTCACGTATAGAAATTTTTTTAATATTTGCAACCATAGTAAAACAAAGATTTATATTTTTGATATTTATTTTATATATTTAAATGCCATTTAACAAAGAAAAATCAACCAAAAAAATGAGTTCGCGTGTCACCTCTGACACGCGTGTCATAGGTTCGCCATCACTGGCTTAGGGTCTCAAAAATTGAAATAAAGGTGTCTATCAGATTAACTTCTCATCTACCAAGTGCATTCAGGTTGTTGGCAAAATTCAATTCCTTGTGTTTGTAGGACTGAGATCCCTGTCTGCTTGCTGGCTGTTGATTGGAAGTCACTCTCAGCTTCTAGAGGCCACCTGGACCACTTTCGTGTCCTAGAGCTCTTCTGCATTCCTAGCCACATGGCCCCCTCCATCTTTAAATACAGCCATGGAGAATCTCATGTCAAGTCTTTCTCATACTTCAAATCTCTCTGACTTCTCTGACCCATATTTAAAGGGCTCATGTGATTAGGTTAGGCCCATCTGGATAATCTTCTTATTTTAAGGTCAACTGAACCACATAACATAACCTTTTTATGGGAGTGATATATCATCATATCACAGTCCTGGAGATTTCACAGGGTGTGTAAACTGGGGAATCTTGGTGCCATCTTAGGATTCTACCTACCAGGCAGAGAGTAAGAGAAAATAGCATTTGAGTTGGCCTGGAAAGATAACTAGAAATGGATCCTTGGTAGCTAAGGAAAACATTCCAGGCAGAGGAAAAGAACAGCAATGGGTCACTAGCAAGAGCAGGCAGGACATGCATAAGAATAGTTCAGTTGGGCTGGAGCATAAAGAGAAGAGCGGAGAGCTAGACAGGGGCTAGATTCCAGAAAAGACTTAAAAGTAAGCTCAGGAATTTGACCCATATCTGGGAGGAGATGACTGAGAGGCCAGAGTGTTCCAGAGTTCCTAGAAATTTGATAGATCAGTCTCTTACCAACACAGTCCTCCTCTCCTTTGCAGGCATGTTACCAAGCATCTTCACCTTCTCATCCTCAGGTAAGCCAGCCACTGTCACTGTACTGTGTGAGTGTAGGACAGCTTGTGCACTGAAAATGGGGCTGGGCTTTCTCTTGGGATATAGACATGGCCTCCTACTTTCCCCTCCTCTCCCTTGTCCTCTTGCCCCCCACCTATTACTTCTAAGGCCATAATCTCAGAATTTTGTCGCCTCCTTGCAGTGGATGGTGACCCCCACTTTGTGGTCCACATCCCACGCTCTGAAGAGAGAATATGCTTCACACTGGATGGGCGCCCA